CGGGCGCCGCCGGGGCAGCGGCCGGTCGGGGCGCGGGGGCGCTGCGGCAGTGCCAGTGCCCGCGCTGGCCGGGTGGGGGGTGGCCGCCCGCTCTCCCGTGCGCCGCCTTGTTTATCTCGCCCGCCGCGGGCGCTCGCAGAGGAACCCCCTCCCCAACTTTGAGCGGTTGTCCGGAGTCGCCTCTCCGACGGAGACTGAACTGCCCCCTCCCTGACCCTTTCCGGCTGGGCCGCCAGCCCAACCCTCCCGGCGCCTCGCGCGTTCCTGCCCACTCCACCGAGCGAGCGAGCGGGCGAGTGCCGGGCTGCGGGACGCGCGGCGCGACACACCCTCCACCTCGGGGGTTGCCCCCTTCCCTTTCTGGCCCCTTTTGTCCACCCCCACTTCCTTACATGCGGTTTAATCCTGCCTCTCCTCACCGGTGTCCCCTGGCCCTCCTTGGAACTGGCACTGTGGGCAAGTGGGGTGCTCGGGTGGGGGCCTGGGCTGGGAGTTTGTCATGTGCAAACAATTTCAAAGGCAGATTTTTCTTCCCTGTCTTGGAGTTCAGGGCTCAGCGCCTTCACTTTAGGAATGACTCAGAAATCTAAAGAAGCCCACCTGCCAGGCGGTGGGGGTGCCACCGCCTCCTTGATATCAGGCAGTCCTAGGCAGTTTTCGGGAGCTTTGGAACATTTCCACCAGGCAGGCGTTTTCATGATGTCAGGCCGCCAGGCGCAGGGTTACGTACAGGCCACCACTATCTTCTTTACACTCCTCTTTCTAGAAAAGTGTCTCTGGTGCAGTTTGCCTGAAAGTGAGTGATCAACAGGTATCGCAGGCTTTTGTGACGCCCTCCTAAGGTGTTGTGTAAACAGAGGTTCCAGGTCTCAAGGAACTTGAAACACAGGGGAACACGGGAATTAAGTTAAACTCCACAGGCACTTTTGAGGAGCTGCTGTGTTCTCAGCATTATGCCAGGCTCTCAGGGAACGATGATAAGAGGCACACAAGAAATCTAAGGCCTCAGAAATCCCATTGGTGGAAGTGATTTGAGAGCTCCAGTTCAAATTAATGTGCTATGGCTGCCTGAGGCACTGTAAATGCTGGGGGTGGGAGGAGGAATATGGAAGGAAAGGTTACAGTTGGGGGATGGATTTATGGTACTAAGTCATGAAGTAAGTCAGCACTTGGAGAATAACTCGCTGGCCAAGGCCCAAAGGCAAGAGAGGGAGAAACTACAGGTGCCAGAGGTAGCAGAGGTACTGCCAGAGGAGAATAGGTCTGAACAGTTATCTCAGTGAGGGAGGATACAAAAGATACAGGAGATGATTCCGTCCAGGACTTAGTCTCAGGGAGGAGACAGAAACACTTAAGCACGTGAAATAAGACCTCAAGATAAGGCACAATTAACTGTCGAAATGCAAGGTATAGGAGAGGTGCTGCTGGAGCTCAGAGAAGAGTGCTGTGGGCAGGAATCGCCAGGACTTTATTCCTGGAGGATGAGACCCTTGAGATGGGTCATGAGGTGTGATTGAACATGGCTTTCCTGAGAGACAGGAGGTGGGCTTGGCCAGACCAGGGAACGTTTCCTGAGCAGGAGATAAAGATGGAGAGGAACAATGGTTAGGATTGTGAAAGTCCTAGAAAGCCAGGCTGGGGAATTGCACTTTACCCTGTGTGTGCTGGGGAGACATTAAAGGTTTTTGAGCCAGAGAGTGACGTAACAGGAAGGTATTTGGAAAGGTTTTTTAAAAGTAATGTTAGAAGACAAATCAGTAGACTGTTACAGTTGTGGAGTGCTCAGAATTTGGACTGGGATAACTGAAAATGGAAAAGCGGGTGGATTTTAGAAGCATTACTGTTGAAATAATCTGTTGACAGGGGCAGGGTGAAGGAAGGAGATGAATGGAAATTAATTCTTTGTGGAAATTGATTACACGCCAGGGCCTTGGAACTGCTGTCGTTGGTAACTCGAGAAATCGGAAATGTGTATTTTGGAGAGAAGCAATTGACACTCAGGCTGCGGAGATTTCCTGTATTTGCCAAGACATCCAAACATAGGTGTCCTGCAAGCCACTGAAGCTCTGGGACTGGTGGGAAACCAGGCTGCCCGAGCTGGGGGAAAGAAGACCCTCAGAGTGGGGCATCGGCTTGGTCATAGCAATAGAGGATGCTAGTGAGTGGGACTGAGAGTCTGAACTGGAAGACTGAGCTGTATTGCCATTCTTGTGATATTGTCAGGTACTGAACCTGAAGTTGGCAAAGCAAGTTGGGATTGGAGATTTGAGGGAAGAATGGAATTTGCTAAACACATAAATTGCTGGGCTTTGAAACAAGTTAAATTTTGCTCTCCACCGAGAGACCCTTAGGCTAGTAGTCCTGGTGTCCCTTCATAGCTGTGTGTGTGGGGGGGTGGGGTTGGGGTGGGGAAGCAACAAGATGGGGGAGCAGCAAGGTGACAAGGAGCAAGGAGGAAATTTGGGGCCCAGGGATACTGCCTTTCCCAGGGCCAGGTCTGTCCTAACCTGTGCCATTACCAGTTCCCGAGGAACGTGCAGTGGGAAGCTAGCTGGTGCTGGTTTTTTCCTGAGCTCTGAATTCTGCTTTCTTGTTGCAAGGATGACTTAGGGTGATTTGCTGAACAAATTCCCCAAGCCTCAACTTGCAACATCTGAGGGCTGGCGAGTTTGAAGGATGATTGCAAAAAGTTGCAGAATGGAGTGGAGAATAGAATAGCAGTTCCTTAGCCTCTGTATTTCTCTGAAATGTAAGATCAGTGAACTAGCAAGGGAAGCTGACTTGGGTGGGCAGAGGTGTCCATTGGATATTTTTTCTTTATAGGTAATATATAGGTATAGGTCAAAAATATTTCACAGAGCAGTGGTTGAGCTAATTTACTCTTTAAGAATAGGGTGTTTTGACTGTGGCCTACGTTAAGAAATAAAAATCACGTCATGACCTAGGTACACTAAATCATGTATGTAAGAATCTTAATTTAAGTTCACAAAGCACTACCTTCTTTTGCGTGGTGCAATCCCCTTTGGTACTTTTATTCTTTTATTTTTCATTTAAAAATGCTTTTTGTCTCTCACTAAGGTGACTTAACTGCTCTGTAGTGGATGTAACCCATGGTTTGAAAACCGGCTAAGGAGAGTTTTCTCATCTAGTAAGTATTTATTAAGCTGCTCAGGTGCAGGGCTCCCCTTACTGGTGCCGTAAGTGGAAGCAAGCATGAGGAAGAGATTGAACATTTACAGGCTAGTTGGACAGATAAGATATACCTGTGATTAAGAAGCAAGGCAAGATGATTAAATGCCAAAGTGAAAAGTAAGTACCTGTAGGGTTCATAGGAGGGGGCGAGCATCTTGTGCTGGAGTGGCTTGGGAAAACTTTTGGGAATAGTGAAGGGAGTCTGGGATGAACTCTTTGGGGCATCTTATGGTGCCGCACAGGTAGGAGGGTGTGTAACACGGACAGAGGCTTGGAGTTAGGATGTGCACAGTATATGTAAGAGTGAATCAAAGGGTTCTTGTTAGAGAGTGGGGGGAAACCAGTCTAGAAAGGTGGGTTACGATCAAAGTTAGGGGTTGTAAACCAGCCTACAGAAGTGTTATAATTTTCAGTACACAAAGGTTTTAAAAAATTGGGAACAACCCAGAAAACCTCCGGGTTTGGGACTCTATAAAGAAGCAGATCAGGCAGTGAGCAGTGGCTGCCTCCTGTGCACGGGAGATGAGCCCTGTGGTCCCCAGTTGTCACTGTCCCCGGACCCCCTGTCACATCAGTGTGGCCCCTCGACACTCCCTGTTTAGTCTTGCAGGACTTTGGGTTTGCGACCTGATCTTTCAAGAGGCTTAAATGCCAACCTGGGGGAATTTGGGATGGCTGTGCAGGCTCTGGGTGGCCACTGGCGGATTTGGGTGGGAGTCTGACATGATGGAATCTGAGACATTTGTGTGCAAGTGATTTGTTTTAGGCAAGTCAACAGTACTTTCTGAGTTGCTGCTGGCTAAGACTTTGGAATCTTTTTCTGATGATTGGAATGGTGCTAATTAGGGAAGGCTTTGGGCTGTATTCTCTTATTGTGAGGCCAGTTTCTAGTGACCCCAAGATCTCTCAGACACTCCCATTGTCTACTTCTGGCTGGCATGATTAGATGGTGGCTCCTGGTATGTATGTTCTGAGAATGCTGTTGGGGTAATAATTTGGTGTGATGTGAGTCATGATTGTCAAATGCCATACGACATTAGATTAGATCTTTGGTCATGTGATTCAGTAATAAAGGAACAGAAAAGAGAGGGGCTGTGCTGTTTCACTTCTTATTTCCTTACTCCTAGGATTACCCCAGGGGGTAGGCCTCTAGGATCCAGAGATTCATAAGCCAGTATTCAAAATGACCATAGAATTATTGGCTCAAACTCAGGTGTTTGTGCAAACGACTCCTGAAAACTAGGCTTATTTTGGGACGAGCTGAAGTGAGTAAATTCAGGTCTCTGTGGTCTAGAGACAGTTTGGTTTACCCTGGAAGTCCATAGCCACCAGTGATTCAGAACATTTCCCCAGGTAAGCTACAGGTGAGAGGGACCAAACAGTAGTCACCCTGCTTTATACAGGTTGCACAATCTGATGACTTAAAATTTTGCTGTTGTAACATTAACAGAAGCCAAAACTGAAGTGCGCTTTGCTGAAAAATGTGTATTAAGGACATGGCTTTAGGACATGAGGATAACCAGAAGTCAGCCTAATGGTATCAAACTGAACCCATTTCCTGTCTTACGTGGTGGTTCGGTTACTAGAACAGAGGAATGAGGCAGTAGCTATGGTGCACTGTGACTTTGGTAAGGTATTTAACAGTTTCTTGAGATATGATGGTCTGTATTAAATAAGTCGTAGAATGTGCTGGTTGGTGTTATTAATTTGACAGTTGTATGCAAAATCTGTTAATTAGTGGCACTGAGTCAGCCTGGAAGGGGGTCTGAAAATGAGTGTCACAGGGTTCTATTCTTGGCCTTGAGCTGTTCAACATTTTTTCCAGTGTTGCAGATGGCGATACAGAAGGTGCGTTTGTCAACTTTGTTGATGGCACAGAGGTGGGACAGATTGCTTATTTAGTAGATGAATCAAGGTTCACTATCATTCAGAATGAAGGCCCAAATTAAAAAAGAAATGCAGTAAGGGGTAAATGTAAAGTCTGATGTCGTTTTTAAAATTTAAATTGTAATGTATCGAGATGTTCATACGTTCTGGTAAGTTAGTTCTACTTCTAGAGGTACAGCTAAGACCATATCCAAAATGTAGATGATGTTTTATGCACAGAGATTATTCAGAGGTTTTTTTTCTTTTTTAAACTGGAGTGAAAAATTAGAAACAGCCTAAATATTCAGTGGTATGAGTGGGCTGGAAGTCATCTATAAGTGATTCTGATGGACATGTCTTTATAATGGAATATTATGAAGCCATTAAAAATAATGTTTAGGAATAGCTTTAAAATAACATGGACAAATGTTTCTGCTAAAAGCTAAGGTGCATCTACAATATGATTTCAAATCTTAAAGAAACAAAGTGTATAGAAAATGGCTGGAAATGGGGCACCTGGGTGGCTCAGTCCATTAAGTGTCTGACTTTGGCTCAGGTCATGATGTCATGGTTTGTGAGTTCGAGCCCCGTGTTAGGCTCTGTGCTGACAGCTTGGAGCCTGGCTCCTGCTTCAGATTAC